TCTCCAAATTATTGCTAATCTGCTTTCAAACTTCACTATAAATTTAATATGAAATTGATTTAATAGCTCATCCAGATATTTCCAGAAATATTATTTTCTATTGGAATTGAAAATCTTTCATCTGATTTTTTCATAAAATAATGCAACACATATTTTGTATTAATTATATATTTATCTTGGGATTTGAAATAATAATAACTATTAAGAATTTAATATATAAAAATAATACTATTAGCAAACATAATTATTAAAAAACAAAAAGAATATCTCCTAATTTTCATGAAATATTTCAATTCAACAAAAATATTTTTTTGTTGCATTAATTATAATTGTCACTATACTTCATTAAGTAAATGATTGATATTTTTTATGTGATGGAAGCTTTAATACTGGATGTATATTTTTGATCCAATTCTTTAATAGTTCCATTTCTGAAAGTGATAATTGTAATCCACATCTCAAAATAGCTTCTGCAAATGCTTTTATTTTCCTCTTGCTCAGAATGTGAAATTCTATCAACAAAATTATTAATATTGGCATTTCATGTATCATACATTTTGTAATTATTGATTATTAAAAAGATTAATTGCATTTGTAGGACTAGTAATAAATTGATATTTAACTAGTGATAGTATTAATTGCATAGGTAGGATCAGTAATTGATATTGATTTGATATTTAATTGTGTGTTTCCTGTAGGCAAATTGGCATTGAGTGAACTTGTATTAGCAATTTCTGGATTTTCAAAGTCCATACCAAAAAATGATCATTTAACTTTAATTGAGGCATTTGGACATTCGCGCGGATGTGACTTACACTGAATTACTGAATAATTGCATTGAGATTTGGGATTTTCACAGTATTTACATTCTGCATGCTGTTGTTGAAATCCAGCAATATGACCAATTTGATTAAAATGTTCCCATATAGAACTTCGAGAAGCCATAATGATAAAATATGTACAACAATAAAGATGTAGATGTTTCATTATACGTATGTTCTGTATAAATGCGTTGGTTTACCATTATTTATTGCCTTAATTGGTGATGATTTATGATATGCATAATTGTGTATGGGCATTAACATATCGGTTAGTAACTATGCACATAATGCGCATAGGCACATCTCTAGCTTTGATATTATGTTGTCTGCTGAAATTCCTGAATTCCAACAAGCATTCTTAATCAATTCGAAGTAAATTACTTCAAAAAAGACTGTAAATAAAAAATATCTTTAATTTAAACAAAATTTTTACTGGCATTATTTATTTAAACCGAAACCAACCTTTCGATAAAATTTTTATGTTTACAATATTATCGTTATAAATTTTACATGTATTTGACTATCAAAAATGCGCATCTATCCTGCTTGTTTGAAGTACATGTATAAACATGCACATTACATGAGCTTGCTTTTATTTTCGCAGCAAAATCAGCGGTGGATAAATTTGTCTCCGATACCTTCTCTTTTCAATCAATCACTCAATACTAAATCTACATTTCCCATAATATAATTATTTTGATTTTATATGTAACTCTAAACCATTTTTTTGCAGTTTAATTAATACATGTATAACAAACAAGCTCTTTGTAATAACTGTAAATGTGCACGACTCGATGTATTGTACCATTGCTAGCAATGAAGATAATGCGAGAACTATATATACAGTATACTTAAAAAGACATGATAACGATTATTATTTTTATGGACATATTTCTACTTCTATTTTGTTAAAACTTGAGCAATCAAAGATATAAAATGACAAAAGAAATGGTTTTCTTTATTAAATGTTATCGTTACATTTTATTATCGCTATATTAAAATTAAAATTGGAATGTAAATGTACATGCATTTATGCGAAGGTCATGAGCAAAAGTCTACATGTATGTCGATATGTATGCACTGTACCCTTTAAACACTTCTTAAAAGAAAATGATTGACTTGGTAACTATTGGTTAACGAAAAGGCGTTACATTGGGAAACAACATTCATTCACTAGTTCCCAAATTGAGCCAATATTCAAATTACTCGATGAACTTTCATTCACTAATTCCCAAATTGAGCAACATTCATTCATTGATTCCCATATTGAGTTAATGTTAGATTATGTGTAATAAGTAAAATAGGACAAATATAAAAAGAATGGTTTTTTGATCATGAAAAATTTCACTCGTACCATTATGCTTTAGAGGTTATGGCAAAGCGCACACATTATTTCAATAGTTAGATTAACGTCGCCGTTCTCAACTTCTTACAACATTTCTTATCTAATTATTTATATAACGAACATTTAATGAGCCAAAGATTGAGCCATCTCGACTAGCAAATTTATTCGAGCTTATAAGCTTTGTTAATGAAGAAGCGTATTATTTCAAGTAGTTAATTGGACCCAACTTTTATAAACGTTACCGTTGTCCAATCTATTTTTCAAATACACGATGAAGATCTAACAAACTAAAAATTGGTATCTCAATAATGAATGAATTCGATTATCTCAAAAGCAAATGGCGAGTCAATTACCCTTGATGTTTTACACGTCTTCTCTCCGAAGAATTGTTCACTATTGTTAAGATCGAAGAACTTGAGGGCATATATATTGCTGTTTCCACCGAGGCCAAAACCGAAACTCAACAATCTTGATGACAAGCAAAAACAAATCAATTCGAAGTCCATGTAGAATGTCTACCAAAGATAATCATGAAACGTTCCTCTTGTTGAAATATGTCAATGTAATTGCCTTGATATTTGTAAAGATGTGAGTGAACTTGTGATGCGGGAAGGTTACTTATTACTCTCATCCAATTCAATAAATCGAAGAAAGATTGCAATCTTCCTAATATAATTTCTTCGAATATCGACTTACATATATTTGCTGTACGAATTAAAAAATTTTTACCAGTTAAGAATTCTTAAATGCGTTTATAATGCATTAATTCTCATAATATTGGACCGAGCATTCAAGCGTGATTTTGGTTTCAAATGGACATCTTGTTGAATATGATATCACGCAGTATATAATGATTTTTTCTAATTTCATAAGAATTTATTTGTTCTCTTCATTAACTTAGTATTCAGTCAAAATTATTCTAATGACAAATGACACGTACAGGTCGTGTGTTTGTTGATTTGGAATTCATCGTTTAATTCGAACACTTTATTTCTTGGTGTTTCGTCTTTCTTTAACGACAATGAACATGTAATAGTAAATACAAAAGATACAGTTAACCACATTTGATTGCCATGTCTACATGTTAATTGAAAGTTCAGAAATGTTCAAATTACGATTTGATATATATTATTCATATTTAGCGAGCAATAGGAGATTAGAGGGGATTCACGTTTGATTATTAACTATTCAATATATCTAAAGTCAATTTTTTTCTGCGCTAACTTAATCTAAAATGTTTATCAAACTTCTCAACGGATTTTTTGTGGTATATAATTCTACATATGCTGACAGTCCATTGATACGTCAGAAAGGTTTATGAGGACCACGGATAATAATAAGCGTAGAGTAAATTTCGGCCATTTAATGTTTACTGTGTGCTCTTTATTTTTGAATATCATGTCTGGTTTAAGCATATGGCTGATGATTAATTAAATAAAATTATTAGAGTTAATGATTATTCGCAATAAATTTCTAATAATAAAAAATCTTCATGAATATGAATAAAATCTCCAAGCCTAAGTAAATAGGTCAATATTTCATACTAATATGACTAAAAAGTTAAGTAACCAAAATTCAGATGGGAAAAATATTTTTTCGAAGAATTTTGAATTGGCAGATAAATAAGATAATGACTACATTTTGGGAAATAACGGGTTTAGAAGGCGAGTGCGAGTAAGGGCATTGCTGAACGATTTACAATTAAAGGGTTTCTTTAAAGGTTTCCTGTGGTGATTTGTTCGCAAATCAATCTTTTACAAATGTTATTAACTAGTTTCGATGGAACGTCAAGGTGATTTCTGATAACCAGCAACAAGAAGAACCAATAACAAAGGGGTTTTGAGAAGAATTTCTGATCACCTATTACAAAATAACGCGTTTTACTATAATTAATTCGAAAGTAATTATCCAGATAGTTTTAGTTAACCAAAAACTACAGTACGTAAGATCAAAAGTTGGGCTTAGTTTCTGCAAACAAAATCAATACTCAAATTATAGATTATTTATAGTGAAGGTCGTCCACTATTTGTACGCAAGGTATGAAGAATCAAATGAAAGAAAAATAAATTTATTTACGAATAAAGGAATTATTCCAGTTAAAAACTTTTATTTATTTTATTTTATTAGTGCTTCGCGTTCAAAAGCTGACATCTCGTCTTTTTATACAAATTAACTATTACTAATTCTGGATTCGGGCATTTCAAAAAATCAAATGTCCATGGGTGAGTCACAATGTTTTCACGTGCCATCTTTCCGAGGGGTATCAATATTTTGGTGAATTCTAAAAGAATTGCAATTCTTACCCACAGGTCCTTACGTCATTAATCATGTGCCAGATAAGTTGAAATAAAATATTGCAAAGATAGGAGAACTTGTACGCGCACATAATTTTATACTATTTCCTTCGAGACCAAAACCGAAATCCAACGACTTTGATGATAAACAAAGACAGGCTACTTCAGCCAATCTCCGTCAAAAGATTGTTATGAGAATGTTAGACGACTTAATGTGATCGCGCGCTCAATATTGATTTATCCCCGGCTTGTCGTAATGTAGAAAAGTGAATGTTATGCAGGGTAATCTAATACCCTAACACTCCATTCGAGATCAAGACAAATTTTGAACATAACACACGAACAGTATCAAAAACATTTTTTTATTAATTTATAAATTAATACATAATATATTCCTCCTTATTATTTAATATATAATCTATCTCTGAATGTAGCTTAATTTTTAAGTATTCTATCCCCATTCACTCCCTATCGTTTAATGTACCTGTTTCTAGCTATTGTTCTATTCTCCTTGCCACAATATATCTAGTGTTCTATCACATGTTTCTTATTATTAACTTGTATTACGGTAATTCATCTGCAAATATCTCTAATGTTCTATCACCTCCAATAGTTCATGTCTCTTATTATCAACTTGAATCAGTATTGCGGTAATTGATATTCATCCGCAAAATTTCTCTTCTCTCCTTGCCAAAAATTTTTTTTTTGGAACAAAGGAAATAAAGTCCAATTTGTGTTAAACTTGAACCCGTCGCTATCAAAACAGGCCCTGGCATCAAATACTAAAATTACTCCCAACATGCACCGTATATCCGAATATAAGCAACCAAAAAATGCAAGATTTTGGCAAGGCAAAGAGGGGGGGATTGTTTATATTCGAGTATAAATTTATTATGTTTTATATATAATATTTTCAGAACCTCAGGTCTTAAAAAGAGGTGGTTGTTTATATACGGAGATATAAGGTAATATGAATTATTCCTAATATCACCATCTATACCTGCAACACTGCCTTCTTATCCTGTGAAACTTTTATTTTAAGACATCATCAGAGCTTGGATTGCAATATGAACATTGAGAATTAATTGATAATAGTTCAACAGTCAAATAAAAAATTCATATGATGAATATAGTGAAGCAAAAGAACCATGTTCAGTGATGTATTTGATCTTATTATCGAAGACAGACGATAATAAATTGCTTCTATGAATATTTACCAAGCCATTAATATATCAAGCAATTAATTATCGAGCATTTACAATTAATCGGTCAATAACGAAATATATAAGAAGTTTTTCATCTTAAAATTTTTCGTTGATTCGAAGTTTCATTATACGGGGATTTAATTTTTTACTAAAGTAATATATAAATCACTGAAAGATTAATTTCTAGGCGAAAAAATTTATACTTACTTCCTCAAGCAAAAATACCTGGCCACTGATTGTTCTGCTTCCACTCAAAATTATAAATAGATTGAAACCTATATAATATTTATGATAAAAGGGTTGTAATCAAGGAAACTGTTTATTCTAAGAATTCGAAAAGATTATTTCTCTTTCATTGAAATAATAATCTATGACACTAATAGGACTTCTTATCAAATAATCAAATTTCTACTTGCATTCATAAAATATTGAACATCGAATGCCAAGGTCATATAATATGTTACATAAAATCATATAAAAGTTACTAAACATGTATATACATGATAGTTTTGGAAAATATATAGAATATGGAGGTTGAGCATCTATTCCTAATAATGTGCATTTATAGAGGGTTTGTATTTATGGAAGTCTGACTGTTCTCTATTTCTATTTCAGGTAAATATAACTAATCGATATCAAAAAAGCTTGGCTTTTGTAAAACTTGCAATGTAATTATTAGAGAAAAAATGGTTCTCTTAAGTAATTTGATCTTACAGAATTTTCTTAGAGAAATATAACTATCTATATATATATATATATATATATATCGAACTTTAAAAGTTATGTGTATTGGATAAAACATATATATATATATAGCTTAGAGAGAAAAGAAAAAGATAATTCTCTTGAGAAAAGTTTGAAGCGCATTCAATGATATGCGTCCATCAGCACATTTAAAATATTATTATCATTTACATTCGATGTAGGAGAGTGACTATTAAAGATATCAGTTCCAACAGTTCCAATAATGATGCTTTGCGTCATGTTCAAATAAACAGCTGAAGATTGCTGTGGATTTTGTTGATTCTGTTGGTTATTCTGTTGGTTATTCTGTAGGTTATTCTGTTGATTCATTCTTTCAGCTTGAGCGTTATGATAATTTGAAATGAGTTGAAAAACGTTTGCAAACTTTGTTAAAAGCAAGAAAAATTTATTCTTTGTGGAAGAGCTTGGTTTTATATTCTTCATAATTAGAACTGTATGCTTATTACTTGTATCCACAGAATATTGATTGATTGTGACACTGATAAGAAATCATATTATACATGTACATGTACATACTTCCGTTCAAAACATATAAGAATATTATTGCTTATAAACTGTCCTATGTAGAAATTTTGCAAGCAAAACTTTTGTTATCTTTGCCTTTCAAGATATTATAAACAAATATGCATGATACAGAGAATTGCTTTATCAAACGTCTCCTCTTTTCTCATTGATCACATAAGATCTATTCAAATAATTTACTTACTTAATTATAATATTATAGTTGTGCTATCCATTGTAATCAACCTTTTTTGTAGTTGCACCTCCCTATAGTAATCCACTAAAGGGTAGTGACTAAAAATAATTGATTATACATGTAAATACGAAAAAATGACAACTGCAAATAGAATTTTTTATTCTTATATCTCAGAATGCATGCAATGCATCAAGTCCATCTTCATGAGTGTTTATTGCTGATTTTTGTGCAGATCATTTGGGTAAGTACTGAATGTCCGAAAGTAAATACCACCACTTTTCTATATGGTTCCTTCGAATATTTTGAGACAGCATTAGTATCGGAACCTCTGTTTTTTCTTTGATATTAACCCAGAAATAAAATTTTTTTATAAAGTAATGTTCAGTTTTAGGAATTCTGTTTATAATTAAAATTAAAAATTGTGGAGTGCGAACAAGCTTATACTTTTCATTCATTGATTTCTTTTTTAAATTGAAATTTTTTACTTTAATATAAATTTTTTAAAAGTACGACCTTATATTTTTCATTACGTACTCTATCATTTATAAAATCTATGTTGTGAATTGTCAGAATAAAAAATGTTATTTCATATTGTTGTCCGCTTAAGTACATTACCCATTCGTCTGTTATTTTCTTATAAAACGAATTTGTCTAAGCAGAGAACTTTAATGCTCGAGCCATAGACTTTTCCTTAATGGAATGCGAGATTTGTGTCATATTCAAAGTTAGAATAAACTCGGGTGGCACTATGCCAATGGCGTTTTAATAGAATAACTGAAAATAACAAAGGTCAGCTCAGTATTATGACGTTCATTATTCTGACTGTCTTGATAATGTCATACTAAGCAGGGATGGTTGTATTGTAAGGAGATCATAACATTTTACGTTGAGATTATCTTTCGATCGCTATTGCATTTAAAATTTTAGAAGGAAAAAAGAAGGTCATAAGCAATCCATAGTGATAGTAAAAATATGATTACCATAGAATTGTGTGTTCAAAATTTCGTGTACAATGCAAGTGATACATGTACATAGAGATAAAATGCATATACGTGGGTTTTGTCACATTCATTTTTATTCTTAACAATAAAAATGAAGGTGTTTTCATAAGCATATTGTTTTTATTTAAGTAAAATGCAGATACGTGGGACATCCCTGATATACATTCATTTGAGATGCATCTGGCGCAATTGTGATATGCTGATGCAGAGCCGTGATCGCCATATTGTCGACAACCTTTTTTGGAAGTTACAAGAAAATTAAAACCGAGTGGTTTATAAGAACAAAGGAAAAATAGCTATTTTTATCAAAAAAAACCGATTATATTTTGCTTCCGAATAAATCAATGAAATAGTAATATGTAAAACAAACTCATCCAGTTCTATCCTTGTGCAATCCATGAATACCTTATCGTAAAGAATTCTGATTGACGCAATGTGTATATTAACAAGAAAACGCGAGAACTGCTGAGCAACTTCGGCTAAACTGCTTAGATTATTAATTGTTAATTCTTGGTAAACAATGGATATTTTCTTTGACGTTCGTCCAGCATAGATATAATCCAATCAAACTTTGCATGCTTCGGAGTTCTTCCCTATCTCAGATAGCATATGTTATGTAATATCCTTTACTATTGAGTGCCTCCAAGGTAAGATATTTAAAACACGTGATTATATAACATAGATAATTGCCTCCATCCCAAGGATATTATATAATATCTGGTACATTTAAGCAAATTAATATTTTAGATTTCCATTAATGCTCTCTTTCATTAATAACTTTTACAAGGATTTGAAGTTCCAGGCTCGGTTTTTTCTTTGTGTTTATGATCATTAGCACATCTTTAGCAGCTTCTTGCAATTTCAATTGATCAATAGCTGAAAACTGCATATTCATATTTACTTTCTTCAGAATTCATGTAAAGTGTAGGGTTTTCTAATTTTTTAGGGCTCGCTGCGATTTTGTTTTCATTGACATTAGCATTGGAACAGGTTTTTTTTTGTTTTCATTGGGCATTAGCATTGGAACCGGTTTTTTTAATTTTGTGTTTTTAAGCTGTATATGGGAGGAATAATATCTTTGTTGAAAGAAGATTCGGGTCACTCGGAGGAATTGACATGTTTATTCCATCTCTACGTTTGAAGTTTATTGTGAAGCTTATTAGATAGATGAACGTAATCGAGAACCTTTTAGTTTTTGATGTTTGCATATTTCAAGAAGGCAACTTATAAATTTTATTTATTTTTTTGGTTTATATTTTTATGCTAAGAATCAAATGCCGTTTTACACTGTATATAGTATTCCTCAAAAATAATGTCCCCGTGCATTAGATCTGGATACTATTCACTATGTATTTTAATTTAGACTTGAATAATATCCGGTCTTTTTCAAAATTCGATATCATTATAATCCAAATAACGTCTAACAATAAACAATATATAATAAAACGATATTATTAGTTCCACGTATTAATATTCCTCTCCGCCTCTTCCTCGTAATATTCGTTTTCCGAATTCATTCATTATCACTTTTAAGATTTTCTCCTTTCTTCTGCAATATCAATTTCGTAATTCTTTTCGTCTTGTGCTTTCTCAAATTTGAAAATTAAATTATCTTCGGAACCATTTATATTTGTTGAAATCCACAACGTTATGGCAAAACACGTATTATTTAATGCCGTTAAAATAGATTTGGTCAACGTTTATAAACATCACTGTTGTCCAGACTTCAATTTCTCATTATTGTTGATGCATTTCGGTAAATACATGTATGATAATGAACTACATATAATAAGCCAAAATAGAGCATAATGTAGGACAGGTCGGCTTCGTGCATTCTAAAAATCAAAATGCCCACGATGTTTTCACGTGCCTTCTTTCCGAGGGGTATGGTGGTTTCTAGAAGAAATTGTTTCATTTCTTATCCGCAGATCCTTACGTCATTTAATCATGCGCCAGATAATTTGAAATAAAATATTGGAAGGATAGAGAACTTGTACGCCTACATCATTTCATACCATTTCCTCCGAGACCAAAACCGAAACCCAACAACTTTGTTGATAAACAAAGACAGGCTACATCCGCTGTCCGTGAAGAATCTCCGCCAAAAGATGGTTATGAGAATATTAGACGACTTAATGCGATCGCGCGCGCGCAATATTAATTTATCCTCGGCTTGTCATAATGTAGAAAGTGAAGGATATGCAGGTGTGTTATTTGCACCTAATCTAACTCCAATGCAAGTTGAAGAGAGGGTTGTGTCAATTAGAAGCGCTTGGTTTCAATCTTACAGATCCTGTTATTTGATACACATTAGTCTTGTTCGAACATCGACTTACCGATATTGGTAATAAATCAATCAACGAGTTAATACAACGATGTCTAATTGAAGTAATCAAAACAGAAAAAAACTTGAAAAATAATATCTTACTCGACTTTTTATATAAATTTGTTGAAGTTATAAAAATTCTTGGATGCTTTCACAAATGCATTAATTTATCATAATATTTGACCGAACCTTGTTTCCATAGAGTATGATTTCAGTTTCAAATTCGAAAGAAACATTTTAACAAGAACGAGGTTCAATCATTGATTTTAAAGCATCTAATAATGAATTGAGCATTAATGAAATCAGTGCATTTTGACGAATAAACCGCAACAAAATTCATAATATTATCATCGTCTCCCTGAAGGCTGAAGGCGTATGTCAAATTATCGCCGATTGTCTATCGCTGGGTCCTTTAAAAATTTGGCCCTTTTTACCCTGTACGATCCATCAGGAATTTAAAATACAGTACAAGTAATTTTGCGGAGATCTGCGGATCTGACGGAGAACAGCAAAGAAAAATAATTAATGTAAACATTTTCGCATCCAGTGGACTAAATTTAATGATTTTGATATCATTAGAAAGATCTAGTCACGACACAGCTAATGGTGCCAAATTCTTTTAATTTGGTTCACTGGATGCGTAGATATTGCGTCTCAAAAATAACGTTCAAAATTGTATAAATTTCTTTGCAATTCTGTAAAGAAAATTGGTTTTGACTGCAAGTTTGAATGCAAATATCTTCGCATCTAGTAAACCAAATTAAATGATTTTGATATGATTAGAAAGCCCTTGACTAGAGCTTTCTAATTATATAAGTCACTTAATTTAGTCCACCGGATGCGGAAATATTTGCCAAAAACAATTTTCTTTACAGAATTGCAAAGAAATTTATACAATTTGAACGTTATTTTTGAGACGTGATGTCTTCGTATTCAGTGAGCCAAATTCAATGGATTTGTACTATTAGATACGTGTTTCTAGACTTTTTTAATGATATCATAATCATTAAATTTGATCCACTGGATGCGAAGATATTTACATTTTTTTAAGGTTAATTCTTTTTCTTTTCTGTTCTCCACCAGGTCCGCAGATCACAAAATTGCTTGTACTGTATTTTAAATTCCTGATGTCACTGAATTTGGAATCGGAATCAACTAAAAATAATGGCTCAATTGGATAGGTACCATATTCAGTGATGCATTTGAGTTTATTAGCGAAGACAGACGATAATAAATTGCTTCTAGGTTTCTTTGATGTATATTTACCAGAAGTTTATAACAGAGGTCAAAAGATCTATCCAATCGAATGAACCAAGATAAAAAGAGAAAAATGTAAATCCTGAACAACAAGCATGGAACAAAATTCTATCTGCCAGCGAAAAAACACGGCTTAAAGAATTCGATTATCATGGTTTCCAACTTACGAGAGGATATACGTTATTCAAATAAATATTATAGCGAACAAGAGGAGAAAACTGAGACCTAAAAGTTCCTTTTCAATTAATTATCAAGAGCTTTTTAACTGGACTAGCTTCAAAGAATTCATCATTTAATTAATTTATTCTGTTTCTGTGTTAAATTTTATTCAACCAAAATTTTCTCAACAACTTTTGCATTCGTAATTAACTAACATTTTAACCAATAACGATAATTGTACATCAAACTGGTAGTCACTTTTACAACAAATTCATAGTCATTTTACAGCAAATTCTCAATTAAAGAATAGATAATTATATAAAGAGCTAAAAATCAGAAGAAGTTTGCTCGGATATCTCTATTAAAGAATATTTCTCCTCAAGTTTAATGATTTGCGACACGTTAATCACATAACAATTCCAGTCTGTCTTATGTACATGTTTAGGCATGGCACTTTTATTATCATTATTATATACCTTGATCATATGACTGACATCTTTGACTTCGATGGTCATTTTTTCTAATTCGATTTCCATTTCTTCAAAGTCTGGGTTAGGATTGGTGTTACTTCCTTTGTCAAATCGGATTTTTTTATAAATTCATATAAGCCTTTATTTGATAAAATGTCATTTAATTTTAAATAAAATTATTTCTTCCTATCACTACAGATATTCTGATTTGACAAGCCAAAAGTTAGCTATGCTCTAAATAAAGATATTCTCATAGATATCAATTTTATAACCCTAAGCTCAATCTCCGCCAATCGCATTCTCCTCTTTGACTTTACCCAGAAATTTGAATATTTCTTGGGATACTGACTTTAAACTCCTTGGGATCTTAAGGATACCTTTCCATCGATATACTATAACATAAAATAAAGTTTTTTTATAATAATACATCCCATTCCATTAATATTAGTAGCTGTTTGTTTGTGTTTGCAATTATATAAATGCTCGTTGCTACCCACCTCAATGTGTGAAGATGATAACAACGGGAACAGGCTATAAAATTAACTCCAGTCCTAATACTGGTCTTAACTTGTGATAGCAATCGATTAGGTTAGCTCTAATCGATTAGCAACCTCAACTAGATCATAGTTGGCTGCTTGACCTTATATCAACTAATCGAATAGTTAAAACCATTATGTAATTCAAAAAATTCATTGGAGTTTATTAGTGAGAAAAATGTAAAAATAATGCTTTTTTGGTTTCTATACAAACAAGTTATTTAAAAAATCAAATGTCCGTGGAGTCACAATGTTTTCCTGTGACTTCTTTCCGAGGGATATCAGCGTTTTGGTGGCTTCTAAAAGAAATGATATGGATTTGGTTTCATATCTGTAGATCCTTATGTTATTAATCATGCGCCAGATAAGTTGAAACAAAACATTGCAAAGATAAAAGAACTTATACATGTACAACATTTCATACTATTTCCTCCGAGACCAAAACCGAAACCCAACGACTTTGATGATAAACAAAGACAGGCTACATCCGCCGTCCATAAAGAATATCCGCTTATGAGAATGTTGGCGTTTAATGTGATCGCACGCGCAATATTGATCTATCTCCGTTTTTCGCAATGTAGAAAAGTGAAGGATACCTTGAGATTTGTAAAGATGGACTTGTAATGCAGTGTGCCTACTTATCATGTTTTCACCTAATTCAGCTTCGGGACAGGAGAAACCAAATGCAACGCAAGTTGAAGAGAGGTTGTGAGAATTTGTGTTCACTTTAATTTTCAAGATTTCGTGTATTGGGATGCTATTATTCGGGGATTCAGTTATCCGATATGCCGTTCTTTTGGGATTTCGTGTATTCGGGATGCCATTTATTTGGGATTTTGTTTGTCGAGTTTATAAATTGCCAGATTGTATTTGATTAAGTGTTAAACATCACCGATGCATAAGCTTAGTATCGAGTATTATCCATTGCTTTGTGAACTTTAGAGCAACCAGTATCTATTTTGTAATACATGAAGTCGTGAGCTAGTTGTTTGATATGGCGACGGTTTTTGCGAAATTAGAATTGCTTGGGGATGCAGAACATCAAGAAAAGCTATTATTCTCGACCTTTATAATCTTTTAGTTCCTTTTCTCAATTGTATTATCCTGGTTCCAGTCTTAACATAAATAATTGCGAACGTTAAGTTGACATTTCCTTTTCAGAAGTCACAACTCACAGGTTTCATTCATTTTTTATTTTTATATATCGAAGGTTATAATTCGAAATCCGTCGCGTTAGTTGAATTTACTCAAAGTTAGGGCAGAATAAAGTGCGTGCGATCACTAGAAAAGGATAAAGAATAAACGATTTACCACTAGATTAAGGGTAAAAAATCAGCGTTTTACGTTTGATGATCGCTACAAAATTGCTTTTGATATTAAACTTGGAGATTTCAATTATTCGACATTTCGTTCCTTCGGGATTTTGATTATTCGGGATGTTGTACGCTCGTTCAGGATGCCGTTCATTCAAGATTTGATTGTCGGGATTAAGAATTGTGTGAATTACGAATTGTCTGGATTTTGTGCCAGACTCATTTCAAGAATTAAATCATAGAACAGGTGTAGTACATAAAGAAATTAAATCTTGGTTTATATTCTTAAAACGAGTACGATATTATAAAGAAACTTAAAAGAAATCGTGATGTTTTAAAGAGATAAGCTTATACGCGACAGAATAACATATATGAAAATGTAAAAAGACAGGTGATTTGATAAGAAGATTAATATTAATTTGTCATAGAGATGAGCTTAAAATAATAGCGAGCATGTATATGACATTGCATAAATAATCTTAGAAGGAAGAAAAAAATATAAGCGAATAAAATGTTATGGAAATGTTCAGAAGTTTATTAACGATAAGCATCCATGAGTACTTTTAAAATATTATTATCATTTACGTTCGACGTAGGAGACTGACTATTAAAAATGCATGTATTAGTTCCATTAACGATGCATTGCGTCATGTTCAAATAACTAGCTGACGGTTGTCGTTGATTCTGTTGGTTATTTTGTTGATTCATAGCGTTATTATGATGTTTTCATTGGGGATTGGAGTTATTTTATATCTCTTCATGAACTTTGTTCGATAATATCGATATGTTATGTATTTTATTTACGGCAATTGTTTTGATCGTCTTTTACATTTTTGGTAACAAATATTGGTTATACAAATTAACCTTTAATACAACCTCCCCCTCCCCAGTCATGAACATGCTGTTAAAGACCTTCATTGATAAATTGCCTTTCTGATCTTACAAAATTTTTTAAGAGGTGTCTATGGAGATACAACTGACATCGTCAGCTTATCAAGTTTACGAATATTCTCATGCCGTTTTATTAATTACATGTGTTAATGTTCTTATTTTAGCAATGCAATTTATTCCGGATCAAAATCCCCATCAATGATAAATTTGTACGTGCGTTTACTCCGGTTATCTTGTAAGAAATTGAATGCCAAGCAAAGGCATGCACTATTACAAGTACATGTAGTGTGTTCCAATCATATGTAGAAGAGAAACGATAGGGAATAAAATATAATTTAAAAGAAGAATTGCGCCGAGGTTAAATTAATGGCGTATTTTCAGGTGCTTATACGATAGTATTTCCAAGATAAGAAATCAACTTCATGATAAAGAACGTATTTTTTTCTTGTTTCCCTAATAGAATATCTATTTATCTTTCAGTTATTGGCAAAATTTTCCCTAAATGAGTGTTTGTTATAATTCTTATTTAATGATTCGTTATAAGAGACGGCGCAACTATGAACCATAACTTTGAAGTAAGCATAAGCATTTAAGCCTCATAACACAAAATATAAATAAAGTTCCGTTAATTGCTTCTTTAATAAGTTCTAAAATCGGATGAGTATTCATAATCACATATTTTAATTACAATGAAAAAGATTTTTTTGCAGCACACTGTACATATATATATATATAGTCACACATTTTCTAGTTCCAATATTATAAAGCATAGAAAATTCGAAATTTATACAACCTCTTTAAATGGCACATTTTTGTTCCTGTTCACGATGAAGTAATTATATGAGCGATGACTATTACCGTTATATGTGTAACTATGCACCGAATTATTCTTTTGCAATAGAATTTCTATTTAAATCTTTGAAATTACGCTGACATATATAGAAAATGATATGCTAAAATTTTCTTCGGATTAAAAAATTTTATCTTTCTACAAGCGAAGAAAATTCAACAGAATTGTACTGACTTTGCTCAATGAACTGATTATGCTGTGTTCCAAGTTGATATCGGGATATGTAGGAACATCAGAGCTCAATGAATTTAATGTATTTTTTTTTTACATGGGTATTTTGGCGTTTATGAAGAAGCCACGTTATCTTGTAAGGTAACTCGCACATAAAAAATGTCATTAGCAAAATGTATGAGGTAAGCTTAAAAAATGTCGTTAAAAAAAGGTTTAATGTAAGCATAATTATTGATATGCATGATATCCTTTGATAATATGCCCATCTTCGTTATAGTGCCCCGATCTCTCTTATATAGTAGTTTTGAATAAGTACATATTTAATTTAAAAATATAAAATAAATTTTATTATAAATTCAATTATTATCTAACTAATTAAAACAAAAATCAATACTGTACTTCTCCGAGAATAGGCATCACTCAATTGAAATCGCTCCTCCAAAAGTACTAATAATACATGAACTATTCAGTAAAATATTTTTATTGAATTTGATCCTGAATAAATGAAATTCAAAAAGAGATTTGGACTTTTTAATTGCATCCATTGAGGTTTTTTTTGCTAAAACATAAAAATGACATTTAAAGTAAATTATATGGTATAGCACAAAACGCAACTTGCAAAGATTCAAAACTTAATCTAGAGTAAACATACAAGCATCCAACCCATATAGCACCAATAAAATTTCACATTTTTATGTAAATGAACCTAATATTCATGTTAACTGCCCTTTTAATTGACATATAAATCTATGCCATCAATAATAATGAATGCATGTAATATTGTCTTTCTACATCATACGTATGATTTTTACGCAGAAACAGCATATTCTCTCTAGATAATTTTTAATTACATGTTCAAATGGGCCTTCTCGGGTATTTTTAATTGACAAAATTTGCGTTTTTTAAAAAGGTGCTCAATCCATGAAATACATATAATGAAATATTAACGTAAACTATCAATTTTAACAACCACCTAATATACTTTTTTAGTAGTTTCTAATATTGCACCATTAACGTTAATGTATGTTAATTAAAGTAACAATTTTAATAATATGATTACTTAGCTTGAAATCCTATTCTTTTAAATTAGTACCATTTGGTTAAAATGACTCAGGTCGCACCCATTGAGTCGGGAGAAAATCTGCGTTTTCAAAAAGAAATTAATGAATGAATAACACATAAGGAACATTGTATTATTCGCAAGCCCCTAATTGTAGTACATTTAATTATGCCTTAATAAGACAGATAATAAACATAATAAAATTTATAAAATAAAAGTTTTTAATTTATACATAGTTTCATTTATAGACTTGAATTCATGAAGAAGAATAGCTTATTCTTAATTTACACACGCTTATATATGTGTGCAAAACTTTCATTATCTTTTTTCCATTTCAAGTTATTATATTTCATGAAACACTTGCATAGTTCAATGATAAGTGCTCAATGAAATCATTAATTGTATTTTTAAAGAAAAATAATTATTATATTACTTAAATCGGTCTATTGAGAAATCTGATTTGTGATTTATATAAATTATCTTTATATAGATCAAATTTATTTTGTAAAACCAGCTCTATAAATCTATTCTTCATAAAATACTCACCTCCTTAAATGCACCTCTGGTATTTGGAGTTTGTAATAAAGCATACCCAAGATTGGTCACAGGATTACTTTTCTCTTAGCAAGATTATTATAATACATGTTTATAATAAAAACAATATGCATTTATGTCAAAGATCTGAGCAAAAAAATATTGAGAATGTAAATATGATATCGTAAAATATTTATCCTGCAATTGATTGATTATTTGGAGTAAATCAAAATGGTTGGGAACTTTCCATTGTGATAAACTTCTTAAACTTTGCTAATAAGATAATTTTAAAACACTTCTCGCTAGAATGAACATTAATAATTGCAAGTATCAAAACGTTCTTGAAAGCCTGTTTTCTTTGTTATATTATTCCTTGTCTTGATGTAATACAGTCGCACCTCACAATTTAGGAATAATCGTAACACTTCTTTATTTACCAATTATTATTGATATTATTAAAACATGGTATTACAGCATAGGAAGGGGGCGAATTCATATGTCTACTATTTCCATGTATTATTGTTTGGGGGAAAAATTGATTATTAAAAAGAGTTGCTAATTCAAGCTTTCGAGACTTTGGATCTCATGAAAGGGAATTCTTATTTAATTTGTTGTTTATTTTCGAGATAAAAATATCATTTATTTTTTAAAAATTTATATTATTATATTTTAAAACCAATTTATATTATTATTCTTGTTAAATAATATATAATGAATCTTTATAATAAATAATAATATCAACAAAAGCAAACTAATAAAAATTATAATGTGTGAGAAATATATTAAAATAAAAACTGAATATACAATCAACCGCCATACATCACACTCTCGGGATTTGAAAATTGTGACCATAGAGAACTGACTATTTTACAGTCAAATTTTTATACATAATAAGTTAGAACTGGAAAAATTTGACATATGACATTTGGACTGTATGTAATACATGTATTTCTGGACGATATTGTGAATTTTATATGTTGCTTCGAATATTTTATTTCCTTAGTTACAGTCATTTTTGATTCTATGCTTTAGATCTTGGGTACTTCGAATTGACAAATTTTCGTTTTTTAATAGACCCAATAAATGAAAAGCACATGGTAAAAAATATTTATAATAAAATCCAGGTCGCGCTTTTTTGGTCCCTGAAAATTTTTTAAAAAGAAATTAATGAATGAGAATGATGAAACACTATTGTTAGCAAGCCCCTAATTGAAATAAATTTACCTTGGATCTAATAAGGCATTATTTTATAAACATAAAAAAAATTTATAAAAGAAAATAATTTTAATTTATAAAAAGCATTTAGTCATTTCATTTATAGATAGGTTTACGAATATGTAAGCGTGGAAAATGAGGATATGATATTCTTTCTTTAATGTTCGCAATTCTTTTACAATAATAACCCCAAAAATTTTGTAAATAATTATATCATATGAAACATTTGCGCATTAAATGATTAATTCTCAATGCAGTTAATTGTATCAATGCAAAATTATTATTGTCAATAAGCAGCAGCTTATTGAATTTGTAATTAATACAAACTACCTTTAAATAGACCAATTTTTTAGTAAAGCCAAAACTTTAAATGCACATTCATAAAATGTAAACGCATCCTACACCCTCTGGTATTTTAATTTTTATAACGACACTAAAAGTTTTAGAAATCTTGTAACTAAGAGCATATGAGCTCGTAAAGTATCAAAATTGTAAACTTATTTATCCATATATATTTTTAAATCAAAAGTTTCAGAAGCATAATAAATAGAATAATATATTACATAAAATTTATTCTGCAAGTGATTAATTATTTGAAATACATTAAAATTTGCATAATGAACTTTTGAACTGAAAGTTTTACAAGACTCTCGTTGATAAATATAAATAGCGCATCTCATTAAAATTACAGAAACAAAATTGCAAAGATCAAAATCCTCCTTTGTTGTAATTTTATTGTAGTACATTACATTTTGGGGAATAAAATGTAGCGGAAGAGTTATATCATTAAAAATGTGTATCTTTAGTCGATGTTTTGATTTACATATTTTGACAAAAGTATTGGTGTTGTGTTATTTTTCTTCTCAAACAGAGCCCAAGGCCAATTATAATACATGAATTTAATATCTTGTAGACCATTCATCATTTTGAATATATGTTTAACTCTTTTCAATCGATTAAACACACGTTGGCTGGAATTTTTGATTCCATTATTCGTGCAATGCTTTTTCAAGACCATGGAGATATTTGGAAGTATGGGACAGTTTTTTAGTCCTGAAAACTGTGTTTTCAATAGTAAGAATAGACTTTTCACCTTTTCGAAACCGATTATTTCCGCGTAAGAATTGTGAGAGTTCGGTATTCTTACCATAGCGATTGATGAAATTAGTTATAACATTGATTCCATTCACTTACAGTCTGTGAAAAAAACCGTAATAAAAAAAATTATAATTGTATTCTAACTAAAATTAGCTAATTTGAAAGCTAAAATTAACGAATTTATTATACATAAATTAAAACGATATACAGTACACAGTTAAAGTTGATATAACAGACGATCGTTATAACAGATGATCGTTATAACAGATTTGGCTTAGTGCGGACTATTTTTAGGAACCAAAAATTTCAATAATACACACCAATACAATATATCACCGGAAATTTCAAAAAGGAAACTATCATTTTGGAACCCAATTTCTTATAATCTAGTGATCTCATTTAAATAAAGATATTATCATAAGATTCATGGAGTCGCGACAAATTTAATAGAGTATTGTCATTTAAATTGGATCATTGAATTTTGAGACATTGGATTTCAAAGTGACAGATTTGTTTTTAGGATTTCCAGTAATATATTGTAGGGGTGTGTATGTGCAGTAGCGCTCAAAAGTATTGCATCACCCGGACGATAAATTTCACGATTTAATAACGTTTCATATACAATATCAATCAATATATAAATAGGCTCATTATAATGCCTATATATAGACAAAACATTGTATCTTATTTATTTTCTATATCGTACATTTAAAAAAAAATAAACCACATTTTACATCAAATCAAGTGATCTGTTTCTTTTGACCATTTTGATAAATAAAAGTAAAATCGAGATTACTCACTAAACTAAATAAATTTATGAAAATTTAACTCCCAATTTTAATTACCACCTAGTATAGCCACCCTTCGCATTAATTATATCTTGAATGCGTTCCTCCATATTTTCAATTAGCTTCATTAAAAACACGTTATCAATTTCGATCCAAATTTTTTGTATCGCATCTCACAGTTGATCTTGAGTATGGATACTAGTTGATGACATTCTTAAACAATGATCTATTTTGTTCCAAAGATGCTCAATTGGCTTAAGATCAGGTGATTGGGCAGGCTAATCAAGTAAACGGATATTATTATCATCAAACCATTTGTATGTAGATTTTGCTGTGTGTTTTGAATCATTTTCTTGTTGAAAGATAACATCATTTTTATTAATTTCATACCACTGGATTGTTTCTAAAAGGTCATCATATAAGATTTCACGATATAAATTCTTATTCATATGATCATAAATACATATGATATTACCAGCGCTGAAAAATCCAAAGCAATCCCAAACTATTATATTCCCACCCCCAAATTTTACTGTAGGTTTTACATGATGCTCTTTCAAAGATTCATCATCACATTTCCAGTAATATTCACATTTATCTGAATTAAAAATCATAAATTTTGATTTATCTAACCAGATGACTTTGCTCTAATTGTTAATAGTCCAATGATAATATTTTTTTTGCAAATTTTAAATATTGAATTCAATGTGTTTTTTGAGATATAGTTTTTTTTGCTTAATTCTTAAAGAAAGACTATTACAATGTAAAGATTGCTTTATTGTGCTTGTGCTAACATCAATTTTATCATCAGTTTTTAATTTTTTTTGAATAGATATTGCAGTGGGAAAACTATCATTTGAAATTAGATGTATAATATTTTGTTCATCACATCCAGTAAAAATTCTGGTTTTGGTAAATCTTTAAAGATATTATGAATATCTTTTTTTTGCTTTATTCTTATAATGGAAATTGGAAAATATTTTCATGATTTGTAATATAACAGGAAGAATATTCTTCTTTAAGAAGGGTATAAATTTGGGATCTTTTTTTGACAGGAATATGTGCCATAATAATTTTAATTATACAAGATAAAAGAGTGAATTCATAAGTATATTTTATTTATAAGAGATGTATTTTGTTTTATTATGTGTTTTTTATCCATTTATATATTTATTTTAAGAGGGAAATGATTAAAAGAAATGCATTATCAGTTTGACATAATAAAGTCCAAGTTAAGCAAAGTGGTATTACATTTATTCTTTAAATTGTATATATTATTTATTTATGCTTTTAATTATATATGAACTAAGTTTCATTTATCTGTGATGTCTATATTACTAAAAATTCTATGATTCATTTTTTCATCCTAGTGATGCATTACTTTTGAGTGCTACTATATAGTGAACTTTATTAATAAAAAATCTATAGCAGATCTGGACTAATTTTTATAAATATGTAAATAGTAGTATATAATCAATAAAATGGATTTTATTAAGTAGACTCCAGTATAATAAAGCAGATTGGTATAATTTAGGCTATTAAACATATCAGCCAATCATAAATTATAATTTTTATAGCTGCCAAACACTAATTGACTATTACTGAATAAGAACTCGCTTGTTCCTCCTTTTTTTCTGAATATTTTTCAAACTTCTCATCTATCCAAATATCAACAGATAAAGTTACAGACATTATAAATACAAAATTAAAATAAATGCCAAATAATCCAACAGAAAAGATGAAAAAAGTTTGTGTTTCTCTTACCATACTTTAAAAAAAAGAAATTTGTGAATGCTTGATAGCTGACAAGATACTAAAACAAAAAGATATTGTCATCAAGTATGAAATATCAAAGCAATTTATTTCTGATATTTTCAGAGCAAAAGAATATTGGTTAAAGATTGAATCAGGAATAGTTTAGCCAACTCTAAGTATGTCTAAAAAGCAATCTTTGAAGATATTGAAAAAATAATGAAAATTTGAGTGAAAAAAGTATTAATACAAAATAACTTAATCTTGAGTGACAATATGCTATTAGAAAAATCTTGATATTTGCTAAAGAATTTAAAGTTTCTGATAAGTTTCTAGCTTCCATGAGTTGGGTCAAGAATTTCAAGATGAAATAATTTGAAGTTTTATTAGAAACTTCAAAAAATTATAAATTCAAAGATGTATTTAATTGTGATAAGATAGTATTATATTGGATACTTGAACCTAATCAAACTCTGACATATGATTCAGTTAAAGAAAAAAAGCAACCAAAAGAGTGAGTATCATTGCTGGTCACAGTAAATATAATGAGAGATGAAAAATTATAAATTTTATTTATTACAAATATGAAATATCTTATACTTTCAAAGAAATTAATAAATCTTCATTATCAGTATGATACTATTAGAAGATCTATATTTAGATCTTATCTTAATTGGAAGAATACTAAAGTAAAATAGTGAATTATATATCAATTCAAATTATATAAATCCAGATTATGTCAATCTGAATTTATCTAATAATTATCAAGTTGTATAACTATACATAATATATTTTATTATTATTGCAAGATAATTTTTTTGTTTTCATTTTTTTTAAATAGTTAGAAGTAGTTATTGATTAATAAAAAAATAAAAATAATAATAATATAGATAAGTAAAGGATGAAATATTGATTAAGTAATAACTATATTAATAATACAAGTTTAAAAATATATTCACATAAGAAATTCAAAAAAAATCAAATACATTTATATAAGAAATACAAAAAAAAATCAAATCTTATATTTTTTGAACTATATTTAAGTTATAAAAAATATGATCATTGTGAAAATTTTGATATATCAGATAAATATTAATAGATTATTTTTTAAAATAAAATTTTTAATTCTGTTTTATTTAATTAAGTTATTAGATATTGGAATTTATTTAAATATAAAATTTTTATTATATATCTTTTATAAAAAAAATTTTTACTAATATAAACTTTTTTGAATTATTATTTCTTAAATTTTACTATATAAAATTTGATTAAAATTAATATAAAAATTATATATTAAATAATTTAATTACTAAACTTTGAATTTTAATATCTTTATAACTACTAATTTAATTTTTATGAAATATAAAATATATATTTATCAAATATAAAGCAATCTGCTTACATAGTTTGAAGTTTTAATATTATAAATTAATAGTAATATTTAAAATAATTTTTTTTAAAAAAAATAATTTTATTTTAGTTTTTTTAATAAAATAATACTTTATTTATTATTAAATTAAAGTATAATAAAATGATTAAAATAGTATAAAAAGTAAATTTAAATTATTTTTTATTAATATAGAAAAATTATAAAGATTAGTTAAAATTTGAATAATTTTTATTAGAAGTAATTATTAATATTTTTACAATAACTCATATTATAAAAATAACTTATATATATATAGTAATAACCAAAAATAGTAACTTAGAGACTAAATTTATTAATAAATATAGTGAAAATTAAAATTTTCTCTTTATATTAAAATTTATAATTTTATTAAGAAATAATTTTTATTTTTATATTAAAATAAAGTTTATTAGTTTTAGTTTAATATATATTTTTTCAAATTTTTTAGATTTTTTCTGAAAGAGTTGCTCTAATTATAAGTTAGTATAAAAATTTTTACTAATTAAAAATGAAATTTAATTAATAAAAATTTTGTATTAACTTTATAATTAAAATAACTCTTTCAGAAAAAATCTAAAAAATCTAAAAAAATATATATTAAACTATAATTGATAAACTTTATTTTAATATAATAATAAAAATTATTTCTTAATAAAATTATAAATTTTAATATAGAGAGAAAATTTTAATTTTTATTATATTTTATTAATAAAATTAGTACTATTTTTGATCACTATTATATAAATACAAATATATATATATATATATATTTATTTATTTATTTATATTTATATATTTTAAACAAGACTTTTAATATAAATTATTAATTAAAAATACATAAATTTTTTAATTTTAATAATTTCTTTAAAAATATTTAAAAAAAAGTTTTATAAAGTATTATAGCTATTTATATTTAATATTTGAATATAATATAATCTCTTAATAATAATTTTTGAATTATTTATATTTACTATCTCTTAATATATTATAAATTCAATATGCAAAAGTAAAGATTTCAATTAAAAAGATAAATAAATATAATTTCAATCAGTATGATATCAGAATTAAAGTAATATATATCATTATAATATAAATAATATAAAT